TATATATATATATATAGATATATATGTGTGTGTGTGTGTGTGTGTGTGTGTGTGTTAACAAAAGGTTGTGTATTCAAACGGTGATCCAATAAAAAATTTAATTTGAAAAAAAGTGATAACAGTTGTGAAGAGAATTATTAATGCAAAAATAAAAATATAATTTTTTAACAACAAATAAAAAAGACATTTATATGCAAACCACATAAATTTTGAATGATAAAGAATGAAAATACCCAAAAAATATGATTTTGGATCAACTTGGAGCATCTTTAATAGTCTGGGGCTAAATTGGAGCATTCTAAAACTCGTGGACTAGATTGGGCACTTCTTAATAGTAGGGGAACTATTTTGGGCTTTTACTCGAAAATAAAATATTTGACAACTATTGGAGAAATCACATGGCATCCTTGCACAAAAAATTTACCTTGTTCAGGTTTATTTTCTGAAGTTCCCCTCAATTGCATTAAAATCTTTTTGTCATTATCTGCAGCTTGATAATTAATGGAAGTCTGGTAGGGAGACAAGTCCATAGAAGCTTCACCATCAAATAAGGCAAATGAAGATGATTTTCCATTAAAAGTGCAAAAGAACTCTCCATTATTAAGTTTCATCTACAAAAAAAAAAAATTGAAACTTTCAGGCTTGCATGGAAAAAGCAGTCTAGCCATATGGCCTGAAAAATTGCCTTAGTCCATGACCATGACAAAGAAAAGATCAGTAAGGTTGCCCACTCTAAAACAGCTATGGGGATATTCTAGTAAAATGCAGACATCATACTCCCAATAGCAAAGAGAGAGCTGCGCTATGTTAGCATAACACAAGAGTTCTGTAAAACAAGTATGAGCTTATGCACACTGAACTGTACAGGATAAAGAACACTGAATAAAAAAAGAAGCAACCTTCACGAGTTTAAGAACTATAATTCAACTGTTTCAGCCAAGAAGGGTAACCAACTTGTTACCTAGAACAAAAATCCTTTAGAAATTCATCAAGAAAATGATCGTGGTGCAGGAAAACTCTACCTGAAATGGAAAACAAATGGGATCCTTGGAGTTGCACTTCATGCCAAAGGAAATTATGCCATTTTCAGGGATCATTTGGTAATGTTTTGTTGTTGTTGTATTGTGTTATTGAAATGTTGTGCTGTTGTGTGTGCATTTTGAAATGAAATGAAGTGGCCCACATTCTCATAAGGATGCAGTAACTCTACAAGTGTCTTGACATGGACATGAAGCTACAAAGGTGCACATGGAGCATTGCGTTTTCAATAACATGTTCCTCTTACAAATCAAAATCATGACATATCAAATCTAGCAAGAGTAAAGCAGTATAAAATGCATAGAGAAAAGAAAAAAGCCATTGCGTTGCAGTTGGGAGCTACCTCTCCTTTATCCTATCATTTTGTTTTTAAAATCAAATATTTAGCTTCCTCTGCAAATACCTTTCAGCACAGTGGAGTAATAAAATAAAGCAATTACTCATTGGGCACAGGTCATGAGTTTTTTATCTCACTTATGTATTACCTCTACATGGTGGAGGGAGATTATATCTCCAGTAGACCTTGCTTGTGGCAGTTTGTCCAGTTTATCAGCAAAAAGATTCACAGAAAGGCCAGGAGATGATTCATATCGGTCAACAAGCTTTAGCACAAGAACGTAATCTGTAAGATAATCAACTTAATTGTTTGCAAAAATGATTATTAAGGCTCGTTTTACTAGAAAAAATAAGTAAAAAAGTACATAGAAGCGAACCTTTATAAGTCCCTAAAACAAAAGTTGTAAGGTTAGGAAAAGAAATAAACTGTTCTTGCCTCCTAGAAGTCATGTAACTAAGAAGGTCTTGAATTCATGTTTAAAATAAATAAAGCTGAATAAATCCAATCTGGCTAAAACTAGAACAATACTTCAACATGGTAAAGATAAAGGAAAAAATGATGTAGAGAACTCCATGGATTCAATCGTAGACTTCAACAGACCTTGAAACTAGTGCCTTCTGTGACTTTGGTATAGATTGGCTCTGAGTTCCTCCATCTTCCCCATTTCCGACTACTTTGACCTTCCATTGACTACTCTTCTCTTAACTTTCGAAGGTCAACCATTGAATACTCTTCTCTTAGGCAACCTTCCAACGACTCCTCTCCTCCTCACCTTCTCCGACCCACTTCTTATGTGAGATTCACCTCCTTCCATTGTAATCAAGCTAAGGAACATTCTCTCCTTTCAACTTTCTTTTACAAGAAATTACAAGATCTGCATCTATGGCATTCAAAAATTTGGTCTTATGCATGAGATGGGCTTAAATTTACCCAAAAGCTTTTGTGGCCACCTTCTGAGTATATTATTTTTGTGCAACTATTTCGGGTTTTTCATTTTCATAAATAAGGAAATTAGGATATTATTTAATGCTAAATGCTTGTGATGGAGAAGTGTGAGAGCGGGAATATCTTTATCAACTCAGAACTCTATCACAAAGATATTAATAGAGGTATAAAACATAGACTTTAAAGAGATAAAAATGAGACACATAAAGTGATAATTTACATGCACATGCCTCATCTTCTTGAAAATTGATTTTTCAACTTTTATGGTTCAAGACTTGGAAACAACGTTTCATCTTTTCCAATTAAAGGGCTAAATATAGAGTCTTTATGAAGAAGCTACTTCAAGTCCGCTTTATATAAATGCTTCTTGAAGTCGACTCCAACCTAAAAATATATTCTCTAAAAAAAATACAAGCATAAGAATACGTTCGAATTACATATGTTGCCTTGCATTAGCTGTCCCCCTTTTCAAGAAATCTACCCCATTGAGTTAAAACATTGATGATGTTAAAAGGAAATTAAAATAGCAAACGCAACAAATAAATATGATATTGCAAAAACAGGAAAGCAAACACACAATTGCAACAATACTAAATAAAGAAAAAAAAACAAACAAAAAAACTAAAATGCAAGATAACCAGCTAAAATACATAAAATAATCGATTTTAATCTTCCACCAAATCTTTCAAATAGGGTTGGATCCCTCCAATGACCATTAGAAGCATCCACCAAGCTCATAACACTTTAAGAAAAAAAGAATATATTAAAACAAAACTTGAAAAATAATTAAATCTAATAAGCCAAAAGAAGAAATTTGGAAAAGAGCAAAGACCAAGAAAACAAAATGAAAAGGAAAATCTCACCAAAGATATCCAGCAAATAGAATAACCACCGGATACATCCCATATTATTTTAATAAAAAACCTTCATATAAAGAAGACCACCAAAACTTATTTATAACAATGCCAACAAAGCAAGTAATCTACTATCAACTCAACACTACATATAACCCCGAAATTTAACCGAATTATTTTTATAATAATTTGCACGTTGAATCAAGCTTTGCGGTGGTTATTTTATAATGAAATATGCATACTTGGCATTTATCGGGAGGGAAGGACTTCGTGCGACGCAAGTGAGGGCACGAGTGGCCAAGTATGACTTGTAAAGCTTTTGCATTTATAGTTTTGCGGAGCTTGTGCTACTTTTGGATATATATTTTATATATGTTGGATTTAACAGTTCTGTATGGTTTACATATTTTGAGGTTATGATTTTTCACATTACCAAGTATAAATATTAATGAATTATGAAGTACAATGTATAACATTTGTGATGATTTAGTGAGACTAGTTCATCATCTCTTGGGTTCTGATTCCATAAGTCAGGACGGTGTTGGTGAGAATTTAGTCTGACCATATTGTCCGCATCAGTCACAACTCAACCAAACCTTAAAGGGAAGGTCAATTGGGTGTGATAGAAAGTGGTATCAGAGCATTGATGAAAAGAATAATGGAAGTGTGTTTGATTTAGAAGATGTAAGAATGAAATCAAATATGAATTGATTTATATAGAGCAATAAGTTGATAAAACTAGGGTAGGGTAGATAACCTATAGGACTTAAGATATCATGTGTGCACGACAAAATGACAATATGATAAAATTGCATGTGAATAAAAAATTGTTGTCAATACAGATATAATAATCAATTTTTGGGAAATTTGATAAAAATTCTGGCGGTGAAAATATATCTCAAATTTCAAATTTGTTCATATTTCAATCGAATCGATTTTATAAAATTCTATGTGTGAAATCGAGCAATTTGATATATAATATTATATATAAATTATGAATAGATAGAAAATATAAAAATTTGAAGTTATAAGTATAATTAAATTAATAAAAACCTTAATTATCCTAAATCGCTCCCTAATCTCATCGTCAATGTTCCTAACCAATTTCTCCCATGCGTTGTATTTCACTCGATGGCGTCGAATGGTAGAAATCCCCATTCTAGAGCTTGGCAATTTCCTCTCCCCCTCACTTGCATCGCACGAAGTCCTCCCCTCCCGATACTCCGCTCCCCCCTCTCGATTTCATTTGCATGACCCTCCCATCCTCTCAGTTTTGCTCGGCAAAAAGGCCTAGCAAGGACTCCAATTGCAATCCTGAAGCTCTGTCGCAACCCGCATGTAGTCGTGACCTACTAAGTCTCGAACAGAAGAGTCGAACGGCCCGTGCAAAACCCCAAACAGCGTTATAAAAGATATGTAAGATATGCATGATAGAAAAAATATGCATGATGAATAGATGCACAACAGAACAAATATGCATAAGATAGAAATATGAATGATTAAGACATGCATGATGATAGTGTACAGCAGAGTAAGAGTAAGTATGCATGTTATTAGAATGCATAAAGATATTTCAGAATAATGTATGTAGGAAGAATGAAATAGTTTATATATGAATGCTCTATGTGCATGTTTAAAAAAGGATTTCACCCTCTAATGGTAAAGGCAAGGGACGCCAATAAACTCTCGCGCTCTGAGTTTTTCTACCACCCCAAACAATTGTGATGGTTAAATCACTACACACTGTGTCGATGGCATAATATCGGTCAAAGGCAAGTAGACCAGACCTTGCCTCCCCAAACAATTGTGATGTTTACATCGCTAACCATTGTGCCGACGAGATAATATCGGCAAGGGTCTTTCAACCTTAGATAATTGTGATGTCTAAATCGTTATCCACTGTGCCGACAGGAGCCGACGGGACAATATTGGTCAAGAGTTTGTTAGATTTGTTGACGGTGATCCTCAAAAAAACTAATGTGCATATAAAGTATAAAGTAAAAATAAAGTTAAAGTAAATGCTTGCAGAAGAGTGAGGTATTTTCATTTTAAAAAAATCATTAATACATATATTAGCATATATCAGATTACTTATAAAAATATGAAAAATCAGCATATTATAAGAGTTCTTATAAATCTGCATGTATATTGAATTTTTTTTCCTAAGATTACTGTAGTTTAGAAGTGTAATTACTCTTGGGTTATCTTTATATAACTCATTATGTTCCTTTAATATTATTTTAGGTTTTAAACATTTGAACAAAATGCATAGAAGAGAAACAAATGTGTATACAAGATAAAAACAACCTAAAAGGTACAAATTAATTTTATTGTTTTATTTAGCGACTCTTTTATGTATTTCTTTATTGAATTATTAGTAATAGAAATAGAATAAAAAAGATATGTTTTTCACTGTCTTACAGTCCGTTCTCGCCTTAGTTAACTCCAAGCCATGGGTCGGGTCGTGACAAAAAATGGTATCAAAGAAGAAGTTTAGATTAAATAGCATGAATCTTAATGAAAGAGCCAATAAGATAATTAGATTAAGTTATAAATAAGAGAAAAAATTTTATTGAGTCTAATTAAATTATATGGTTGTTGTTTTTTCAAAATTATGGACAAAACGGAGGAAGATGTTAGAGGTGAAAATATAGAATTTGTTGTACCCAAGAATGTCCAGTCAATGCTAGTGCATTCTCTAATATAATGAAGATTATAACTCAGTTGATTAAGAATACTCAATCTCAAGCTAGTACCAATGGAGAACCACCAATGGATAAGTATTTGAAGCTCTTTCAAGATATGAGACCACCTTTGTTTTTTGGAGCAGGAGGGCCAGTGGAAGCAGAAAATTGGCTAGTGAGAGTGGAGAAAATCATAGATGGCATGTCTTGTCCACCAGTGATGAGAGTTACCCGAGCCACTCTTGCTTTTAAGGGGGAAGCTGAAAGATGGTGGCAATGTCAGATGCAGGAGAAGTTCAGAGATAGAACCAACCACTTGGTATAGTAGGACGAATTTGTGAAAATTTTTAGAGATTGGTTTGTACCACTATCAACTAGAAGGCAGATGAAAGATTACAATACGTTGGTGTGAGGAGATCGATCAGTTATGCAGTACGAAGCGGGTTTACTATGTTATTGAGATATGCACCACAACTCATTCCACATGTAGAGAAGAAATGTAACAAATTTCTTTCTGGACTTAAAAACTTAATCAGGCAACCACTAGTGTCATTTAGGATTGAAGACTATTCAGTACTATTGGAGAGAGCTAGGTGGGTGGAGATTATTTCCAACAGACTCAGAAGCGTAGAGACATGCATAAGAGAAAGAGTTTAGAAAAAGTGAAACCAACAGTTCATTCAGGAGAAGGAGGGTCTCATGGGAAGAAGATAAAGTCCTGCACTAGTAGAGTTGTCAGACAGGTTGGCAGTAGCACTACACAACCCTATGTTAAGTGTGGAAAGCAAAATCGTGGTGAATG